AGTAGATGAAAGCTGATTTTAGACACTGCAATGCATGTGTCAGCCTTGATTTCAAGGTTGCATTTGCCTGCCCCTCTTATCAGCTCGCTGCCTAATCTCTGCATCCAGAAAACTCATTTCTTCAGACAAAAATTTACAGACGTTCATTTTAAGAAGAAAAAAAATAAGAAAAATCTAAGAAATGGGGAGTGATAATATATTTAGTTGAATCGAACTACGTGCAGGCAAGATATCTAATTTGACTGCTGCCATATATCATTCAGTTCAGTACAACATCAGAAATTTTGAGGAGTGTGCAATAGCATATACCCATTTTGGGAAATGAGATTATGAATTAATCATGGTGATTAGTACCTAAGAGGAAAAAGATTACATCACCAGAAGAGGGAGAGAGAGACAGACAGAGAATGAGTTTTATCACAGAGAGTGAGTAAACGCAAGAAGAGGGAGAGACAAAGGGTGTAAACTAAATAATGTGATTTTTCACAGGGTTTTTTCTCTATTTTTTAAGTTAAAGGTGGCTGTTTTGAAATTGTTCAATTCGGTTGGGCCTGACATGGTAATTTACTTGTTTCTGTGGGAGGAATGTCTAATTTTATTAACTTCAATGGAGATTAATGTAATTCACTGACCTCTGATTGCAATTTGACAACCCTAGTCCCTAGTTATTAACGTCTGCCTTTTCGATTTCATCAGCAACAGCAACTCAACAGAGCGCTCTTTTCATTAGCAAAAACCGGAAAGGAAAAAGAAAAAAAAAACAGAGCTTTCTTTCTCCTCTCACTACTCACGGAAGGACAGACAGACCTAAATCCCAACCTCACAGTACGCTCCTTTATCTATCTATATATGTATGTATACTTTTATTTGGTCTTGTATGTGCTGCAGTGTGATGAAACGGTAAAAGCTGAAGTTCAAATGGTTCTGAATTCTGATTATGTGAAAATGGCCTAAATGGATTGTTGAAATTATTGAAAAGAAGATATTGGCTGTTTGAATTTTGGTGAATAATGGAAATTTGTTTGAGAATTATCTAATGAATTGACAACTGAGTTCACAGTAGCTGGCTGGCTGGGCACGTGGTCGGTTGAGACTTTGAACTTGTTTTATATAGGAATAGGAGCGATAACAAAATCTTCTTTCGCTTTTTCTTTTTGTTGAGCTGAAAGATGGTTTTCTGTAATTGTGTTTGGTTAATTCCTTTGCCTCCTTTTCATGTTTGAAATTTGCTGGTACTGATATTATTGGTTTGAACCTTTTCACAGTTGTAGTTCTCAATCTGAAGCAGAAGAGTCAAGAAAGCCGGGTAATTGTTTTGCTTGTTTCGGAGTCTATTAAAAGTTAATAAACTTTGGGCATTCCCCATTTTGTGAGAATCTCATTTCTTTGGATTTAGAGAAGAACGATAGTTGGATTACAAGATATACTTCCTATTGGTCTTTTTATCTTGTTTGACTTCATTTGTTCAAGCAGAAGGAGATGATGGAGTATACTGTCACCCAACAGAATTTTACAGTTGATGTTCGTACTTTGCATGGATGTACAAAGCAAGTTAGTCCTTGTTCTGGCATTGGACCTTTCTCAATATCAAAGTTTTTGAACAAGTATAATCATGAAGCTCAATATTGTTTACAGTGGAAAGGAGATGTTAGTTCCAAAAGAAATGTGCGTGTTTTACAGCATAAGGGTTTCCAAAGAAATGTTTGTATTGATAGAGTCGATGAAGTTAACGTAGATGAATGGAGCATTGGTAATGATGAGATGGGTACTGAGAAAAAATCTGGAGAGGAAATAAATAAAAAGAAGACTCGTACTTCTTTTATATTGAATGTAGAAGGGCGCTTTGTTGGAAATTCTGAGGAAACCAATAATGATATTCTTCGAAAATTTTGCAGCCATGGGAGGTTAATCGATGCATCAAGGTTAATTGAGGTCATGGCACGTCAAAACCAAATTCCATACTTCCCTTCTTGCACAAACTTAATCCGGGGCCTTGTCAAAATAGATCGATTAGATAAAGCTGCGAAAATTCTGAAGATCATGATCATGTCTGGGGGGGTTCCAGATATTATAACTTATAACATGATGGTTGGAGGTCTCTGTAAGAGAGGACAGCTAAGGTCTGCAATTGATCTCGTGGAAGACATGAGCTTGACTGGTTGCCCTCCGGATGTGATTACTTACAATGCAATTATTCGCTGCATGTTTACATTTGGGAATTTTGATCAGGCAATTGCCTTTTGGAAGGACCAATTGAGAAAGGGATGCCCTCCTTATATAGTCACCTATACAGTTCTCATTGAGCTAGTCTGCAAACACTGTGGAACCATGCGGGCTGTGGAAGTTTTGGATGATATGGTGGTAGAGGGATGTTATCCTGATATTATCACCTACAATTCTCTGATTAATTTTACTTGCAGGCACAATAAGCTTGAAGATACTGCTTTGATTATACATAATCTTCTATCTCATGGGTTGAAGCCAAATGCTATCACTTACAACACTATTCTCCATTCTCTTTGTAGCCGTGGGTGCTGGGATGAAGTTGATGAAATCTTCACAATAATGAATGGAACTTCCGAATCCCCTACAGTTGTTACTTACAATATTTTGATCAATGGTTTATGTAAATTTGGGCTTTTAGATCGTGCCATCAACTTCTTTACTAAAATGATTTCTCAAAATTGTTCGCCTGACATTATAACTTATAACACACTCCTGGGAGCTCTTTGTAGGGAGGGAATGATTAATCAGGGCCTTGAATTACTTCATCTTTTATGTGGCACCAGTCGTTCACCTGGTTTGATCACTTACAATACTGTGATCGATGGGTTGGCTAAACAGGGTTGTATGGAGAAAGCAATGGGATTGTATGGTCAAATGGTAGAAAATGGAATCATTCCTGATGAAATTACCCATCGTTCTTTGGTTGGTGGGTTTTGCGGGGTGAATCTAGTTGAGGAAGCTGTTCTGATATTGAAGGAGATGCAGAAGAGAGGCCATCCGGTCCGTAATATTTCTTACAAATTTGTGATCCATGGATTATGTAGAAACAAGAGAGTTGATGTTGCAATACAAGTTCTAGAAATGATGATATCAAATCGATGCATGCCAGATGGGGCAATTTATTCAACTATAATTGAAGGTGTAGCTGCTGCTGGTATGACAAAAGAGGCTGATGAGTTGCATCAGAAGCTGATCGAATGGAACATTTTAAGTGAAGAGGTCATGTGTTAAAATAGATAGGGTTTATGCAAAATTTTGACTCACTTTGTTACTTCTTATGGGCATCTAGACTAACATTTCTTTGTTGAAGTTGTATAGAATCTGCAATTTCATAAGGTGGTTCTCTTATAATGTTTTACCAGAAATTAATTCTGTTTGATAATTTCTATCATTGTTTTCTGTCTCTGAATCTCATCTGTCGACTCTTATGAATAGTCAATATCTTATGTCTTTTTCTTGCTGGAAGTTCTGGAGGGAAAGGTCTGCGTATCAACTAAAAACATGAGTTTTTCAAATTGAACTAATTAAAAAGTTTATTTTACGTGGACTTGGTGCTGTTCCTATTTTGGCAAGATAGGAGATATTTAAAATTTAGACACTCTTCCTTGCAGAAAGTGAATTATCTGTTTGTTGTTTGCCATTTGATCCGTTGCTTCTCGTGGTTCCAGAGCTTATTATGATATCTATGTTAATAGCTAGATGTTAGGCGCCGCTAAATGTCATGAGTGATGGAATTACAACTGGTTCTTTAGCCATTCAAGATTTTCTCCCAGAGATAAAAGAGGGGGAGGGAAACTGTATCTTCACTCTTATATTTTAGGGTCCTCTTGTTTTCATTTTTTGGTTCACAAGACAAGCCCCAAAAACTTCCAGTGAATGTTAGGAAGGAAAAACAAACTAGATACTATAAAAGGAGAAAAACATGTCTCTAGAGCAAATGTTTGCATTAGTAAATAAAACAGAAAAGGTTTAAAAAACAAACTAAAGTTTGCTATGTTCTTCTGTGCTGTGTTGCAAAGCAAAATATCAACCCTCCAGGTATTGCCAAACCTGCCCTGCAAGGCAATTTGCTCATTGTTGAGGGGACACAACCTCGAACTTCGTCCGGAACCTAAAATGGTGTTTTAATCCAGCTGCATATGTTTGTTTCATTTGTAGTCCACCACTGAATTACCTGCTACAACTCATTCTTTTTCCTTTATAAGCATGCCGCACTTGTAATCTGAACCCTTTGCACATTCAGGATCTACTCTCAGTTAACATGGAATGATTTCAGGGCACCATGCAAAACTAGCAAGAACATTCAGAATAGTCCATGAGAAACTGAAAATGCACTGAAGTATATACCAAAAGCTAGTTCTTAATCTCAGACAGGGTAAGCTCTTTGAAAACATCAAGCATGGGAAAGGTTCTATTCAAACGTTTGAACGAATCTTCAGAAATAGCCCTTAAACTAAAAACAGAGTTGGCAAGCTCCATAGCTTCAGCTCGCCAACCTGCAAAACCAATTCCTTCAATCAATAAAATGTAGGTGGTTTCATTCGGGCGACAACCCTTTTCAACCATTTCCGTGAGCACTTGAATGGCATCTACAACTCGACGTGTTTTGCACAATCCAAGAAGAAGAATGTTATAACTGATAACTGTAGGCTGAAAACCGCCAGTTTCCATGTCTACCAACAACCCAATAGCCTCATCTACCATCCCATCTCTGCACAAACATGATATGAGTGAATTGTAAGTAATCTCGTCAGGTTTAATTCCCTTGCCTATCATCTCTGATACCATTCCCAGAGCTCTTACTCTGTCTCCACAATTCCACAGTGCACTGAACATGGTGTTGTAGGAACTCACATTTGGAGGGCATCCCACTTCACCTAGGTTCTCAAAGATTTGCAAAGCCTGATCAGCTTTTCCACTCTTACACAAAGCAGCCAAGATTGTATTGTAGTTAACAATGTCTGGCAAGCAACCATCAGATATCATGTAATCCAGGAACTCTATTGCCAAATCTAATCTCCCCTCCTTGCAGAAGGCAGAAACCAAAGGATCATAACTATAAGCATCTGGAGTTAACCCCTTTTTCTTCATAATCTTCAACACGTTTACCGCATCCTCAACTTTGCCATCGCGGCACAGCGTGCTAATCAAAATGCTGTAAGTCACAACATTAGGCTCACAACCTCTTGAACACATATTAGTCACTAGCTTTTCCCCTTCTTCCCATTTACCACGATTTAAAAGTGCTCGTAACAAAATGTTATATGAGATTACATTCGGTGGGCAGCCCTTGGAATCTAAGCTCCTAACAAACTGAAAAGCTCTATCCAGCATCCCATCTCTGCACATTCCCCTAATAACTGCATTGTAAGTATACATGTCAGGTTTAAGCCCTCTTGATAGCATCTCATCTAAAAGCTTCATGGCTTCATCAATTCCACCATCAACAATGGTTGCTTCTATCAAGATTGTGTAGGTAATCACAGTTGGCCTGCAATTGTCCTTCACCAACTGATCCATGACCTTCAAAGCTAACCCAAGCTTGCCCCTAGTACAAAGACTCCCTATCATTATATTGTAGGTCACAACATCAGGTGAAAATCCCTGACTTCTCATTCTATCAAGCACTTTGTTTGCTGATTCAATCCGATTTGCCTTGCAGAACCCGCTAATCAATGCATTGTATGAAAACAAATCAGGTTCACCATATTTTTCCAAGATTTGCATAACCCGGATGGCCTTTTCGATATTTCTCGAATTGAAGAACCCTTTAATGAGCTTTGTGCAAAGAATGACATCAGGTTTGTAGCCCTTGTTCACCATAAGCTCAAGAAAGTAAAGTGACTCGTTGAACTGGCCTGCTTTGCAAGACCTGCTAAGGACCTTGATCAAATGGGTCTCTTTGATATCATAGTTTGGCAAATGGGTTGGTTTTGTTTCAGCAGAAACCATTACCTTTATTAGGTTTCTGGAGCTGTTTCTACCATTTGATGAAATACACACTCTGCAGCTCACAGCAGCGTTGGTGTGAGGTGAATGGGAAGTGAGTTTCAGCTGGGCGGTGGTTGCGTGGAGGTTCTGAGGCAATAACTTGGTGGAAACTATTGTCATTGATGGTGTTTGTGCGCTCATGTCATGGACAATCGTTTTGCATAAAATTTGGAAAGATGGAGAGAGTGGCTGTAAATGTGCAGGGAGCAAGCAAGGTGACCAAACCAAATTGAAAGTTGGCAGTTGAGAAGGTGACGTTGCTGGTTGACCTCCTATATATCACAAACAAGGGTTCCAATCGATTGGATTTCAGGACAAGTGTTGTGGATAGGATAAGGATAAGGAATCACATCGTACGTTGCAACTTGCAATGTTTGGGTGTTGGGCCTGGACACAATTACTTGAACTCCCGAAGCACGTGTCCGGTTCTGGTAGCAAAGTTGCCCAGCAAAAGGTGAGCTAAAATGCTAAGACAGTGGGCCACACCCAAGTGGGTAATTTGCTAATTATCACCGTTGATTGAGTGATTTCAACATTGCGAGCTCCGCATACATCAATAGCTTGGAGTCGCCCACGAGCACACGTGCGACTCCCATAAGCACTGGCATCAACAGGAGAGCACTTCATTCGCAATTTTGCTCTTATAATTCCGCAATATAGGAATGTTTTTGTTAGTCTGCGTGCTACAAAATGTCCGTTAACATGCCATGATTTTATTGTGAGTCTCTGACATATCCTTTCCTTATACATCGCGAAATTAGTAGAGTAAATTTTGGATACATCCGTTAACACAGTTCCTTGCAAAGCTGCTCTGATACTCAGCAATCCAGATAATACAACATCCTTTAACAATATGGGCGTATGTATTAAAAGGTGATGTAACATATCGGGAGATCAGTATCTTCTCCAGCGCCAAAGGGGAGAAAATAACGGATTACCTGGTTAAGATTAAGAATTGATCCAGGGTCTTAACTCTCCCTCATTTAATGGTCAGATGCTTCAACATAGCCCGTTAAACAATCCCAAGTTGAGGACCTTTCTGGGCACACCTTATTCAGCAGAGCTTTCAGATTTTCTGTTCTGAGCTTCTCTTGTAATTCAATCCGACAAGAATCAGGGATTTGCTGATGCAGGTAAGAGTAACATAAGCATCCAGGCAACTTGATCAAAGAGGACTGTGTAAAGTCAAGACAAATTGCATATGGAGGAAAATTTCCATTACCTTAATCAACCATAACATGTAAGTAGCAGAATGCATTGCCTGTGCTTGGTAATCGTCAAAGCTATTATCTGGAATGATTGAGCAGGAGTGGAGGAGATGTAACTCATTGTCCATAAATACGCTGAAGTCATTATTCATGCTGGTTTTCTGCTTCCCATGGCTGGACAGACCAGTGTGATCAGTTAAGAAATGCTTTATCCAAAATAGGGAAAGGAAGCGGCGATGAAGCCATAGAGCCTGTTTACAGTGAATACCACAGAAATGAAAACTCAGGGGGGTCTAAGATAATTGGTGAAATGAAGTCTACCGTGTTCCTGGAAAATATTGTTACAATTACGAGATGTGTATCACCCACCTCTCTTCCTATGTAGCGCTTTATCAGCATTTCATCCCAATCAAGTTCATCCTATCATGCCCACATTGTTAAGCAGTGAATGCAAATGTAATTTCAAATAAAAGGAAAAGACAAAAATTGATATTATTGATACAAGAATATATGAGAAACGTTCATGTAAGTAACAGAGCACTGGCCAGGTATCTAAAAAATGCTTGCCTGCAGAAAGTGACGGTGTCATAAATTGTCGAAAAGAGATGAAAGAAGATTTGTACCTTCCACAGTAGATATATTTCAACACTGTAACCAGAAGATGATATTTCTTGTTCATAGCATTGGTCCTCTAAAGTCTTAAGCATTAGCTGCTGCAAAACAATTGAAACAAGGATCGTGAGGGGAATTAAAGTCCAGCTCGTTTGAACTTGCTAGTTCCACAATGAAGAGCAGTGTGTTCTTTTTTAAACCTATGCCTTGCTAATTCCATGCACACAAATGTAAGAAGAATTACAATGATTAGCTATCAATCAAAATTAGTGTTATACAAAAGAACACTAACTCCACATCAAACTGAGGCAACATCATTTTGTGAGGATTTATACATTATTTAAGGAAAAGATGATTTAAGATCACATTTAAAAAATTTGTTGCCAAGATCATACCACGGTATTATGATCAATGAATCTTTAATGAGGAGGCAAAACAAAAGAAAACAAAGACTCACACTACGATAATGGAAGCAACTATGATCAGCAACATGCAAGTTGGCCCAGTGTCTGGATCTCTTTAATTCATGTAGCAACTGCAAGCACACATTTTCTTTATAAGAAATGGCAAGCAAGCACACATTTAGGGTGCATACAGTTCACATTACCCCCAAGAAGCAAAATGGATTTCCTGTAATATAAGTATGTATGTTGGAATAAGAAACTGAATGAAACCAAAAAACTTATGTGTCACAGTTTTAGCAGAGGAAATCAGATTCACGTTTTTTGAGAATCAAAGGCTAACATAGAATTCTCTTCTGGCACTTTTCAAATTTATAGGAGTCCAATTTGGCTCAGAATTGTTCACATCAGTACAATATGAAGAGTTCTAGAAGGTAACCTGAATTATTCCCCCACAAAAGAGAAAAAAAAATTGATGAGATCTAACCTGTTCTCTTGTCATGTAGGAAACCAACCAGCAACGATGATTCCATGCACGGTAATTCATTTTTGACCTCTGTAAAGAAATATTCTAATTATAAAATAGTAAACAATGACAGGGAAAATTATCATTTACCCAATAAAAGAAGTAAACACCTAAGGAAATTGTGGACTGCCATAAAGAATAACCATTGCTATCCATGAACACTGTGCTTTATGTTGGACAAAGAGAGTGAATTACAGATATTATCAGCTAGTTTGCTACAGAAAAATTGGCAGCTTAATTGGAAACCTTATTTCACTGACAAGCTGACTGTCACATGGACAGATTATAAGAATTGTGTTGTTTTCTCTAGGAAAGCAATAAAGAGAATGACCACAAGTAACACATGTGATGATAAATCTTGATAAAGTTCAAGTAAACCTTTGTAAATTAAAAGTATGCAGTTCCCTGAACTGAATATAAACCTCAGCTATTTTCTCCACCAGCTCAGACTCTTTGGTCACAATCTCTGGCAGAGTTGAACACTTTTCAGAAATTGATTTGATAACCCACTTCCTGCAATGATCGATATGTTCATAAAATTCGAGTCTAAAGCCATTATATGGGAAAAATAAATAAATAAATAACTATAACGAGAGACTTGATTAAACCATACCTAGCTGAATACTTATAAATAAGAAACTTCACACCAGTTATTAAACATGCGTGTGCATATATAAATCAATGCAGTCAGTTGAGAAAAAAAAGGTTTTCCCTATATGTCTTCTTGAAGTCAACTATGGTGGTACCCATAAGGCAATAACCAACTACACTTGTCAATGTTTTTCTTGCAGATAATGTAAAAAAACCTTTGTTAAAATGTTACCTATGGCCCCAAGCATACTCAGACTTAGGTGAATATGAAAGAACAAGTGCTGACAAGAGAAGTTCATCCAGTAATGCTGAGAGCTTATGCTTCTCCAACACCACGAGCTTCCTGTGTCAAATATACAAAATCAAGTAGGTGCCATGACACTGTTTCAAAAACATAAATACACACACACACATAATGAATTGGGCATAAGATAACAAATAAACATATCATGATCCTCGATTCTGTACGGGTAGGGCATAAGTTTAATTCACAAGCATATTTGATTTTATATTTTTTTTGAAAGTATGTTTGAACAAGTATAGCAAAGAGAAAACAAGTATAACTGAACCAAAAATGAAAAGAAGGAAGACCTGGAATGCCACGCAGTGCCGAAATCACAACTTAGCAACAAAAGAGCCCTGCTATGCTTCATGACGGCACTTTCAATACTGTCATCCAAAGATAGTGAGGTACATAGAGAATTCTCAACCCCAGATACATCAGAGGTGCTGTTCAGTTCCTTAAACTGTCTATTGGCTGTCATAAACGCATCCTTAGATGCCTTATATAATGGAAGAAGAACTTGTGTTGAAATCCCCAACTTATGATCGTCATTCCAAAAAACCGAATTTCCATCAGCTGAGCTGTCAGATGAGGGTAAGGAATGACCCGCCTCTTCGTTCAGCTGGAAAAACTGGGATGGGTGAACAAATCCCACCTCATCGCTGGGTTCAATCAAGTGGCAATACAATATATAAGACAGTGGCATAACCACACATTCCAAAAACATATAGGAGAACCCTTTAAAAAAGAGAAGCTATACACAAAATCATAATGCACCCACAATACAAATACACCAAAAGCATAAACTTTAAAAGATTTAAGCAAAAGAATGAGTATACTTGGCGGGTCCAGGAATTTTACTTTTGAGGGTCGACATGTAAAAGCTCACAAATATTTTTTAGACAAAAGAGACCTGTAAAAATGAAACGATAACATTATAATTCATATATAATATGCAATATTTGCCTTTTCCTTTATGAATCAATATCACTTGATCACTTGTAAGTTGTTTCTATGCTACTCCTTCTTTGGCCGCGTATTAAACAAAAGAAATCAAGATTTCTTTTGCACTCTCACAAAGATCACTCAGCTAATCTGAAAAATTAGAACTTCTTGCATGGACATTTAAATTATCTAATCTCAGCTCTATTTTAACATACTCACACCTTGTGCATTCTGTCTCCTCTTTCTAAAACCATTAGTTCCAACATTATTTCATTTGGGGTCTAAAGATGTAAATATGCATGAGAGATGGCTCTATGCTGCAAAACCATATATCCCAGTTCTATAAGGATCAAAAGCAAGAGACCAAATGCGACCTTTGGTTTCTGTTTCCTCTCCTGGGTCTTTCATGTAAGCTTGTGAGACCATATAAATTAACATCATCACTTTGCTGATTGCTAAATATGCGTCCCCTTTTAATGTTTCCATTAACTCCTTTTTTGTTTCCACTTGACAGTTGCAGAGATCTCAAGCAAAATTGGCACAAACTAGGGGCACCTAGGCAACAATTTTCCATCTCCAAACCGGTCCATTGAGCTCATCAAATCCATGAATGCAGGGCGTGTGAAGCTCTATGATACCAACCAGCTAGGCAACTCGCCGCTGCTGCTGAAACATGGCGAAGCTCGCACCAGGACCTCCGCAGCCTTTTTCACGGTTTCCCTTCCAAGGGGTCGATTGACCCCAGTGACCCATGGTGGCTCCGCCACACAACCAAGCAACCAATAAAAACTAGCTATGAAAAAGAATTATGCTGGGCATTTTAGCAAACGTGAAGTTTGCATCACTGAAAACAGAGAATCAAAACCCGCTATCATTTTATTCTTTGCTACATAAAAGTATGAACGACTTACATGTGAGGATCGGATTCCAAGATATGTTCGAATTGATTCAGAAGATCGACCATTTTTGCTTCGGAACGCAGCTCGTCTTCGTTCATGGTTTTGTGTTTGGTTGCCGAGAAATACAAAGAAAAAGCCGAGGGAAAATGAGAGTGTTTATTGCATATGGAGGATGATAATTAACATTGTGAGTGATCAGTTTCGAATCTGATATAGTGGGACAAAAAGGTAAATTCATTAAAGAAACCAGGTGGAAGGTTTCCATTTGTTTGTCAAAATAAGCTGCAAAGGAAAACTTATGGGACTGGTCGTAGGTGATTTCACGTTAAGCCTAAACCATTGGGACACGTATACATCTCTCTTCTCCGAGCCTTTTCCCATTTTCTTTTTTGTTAGAATTTGAGCTGCTATTGCTATTTTACAAATCTCTCTCTCTCTTTCTCTGAGAGCTAAAAGTGCATCAATCGCCGAAGAAAATCTCTCTCATTTAGTCTCGCTTTTTCCCGTTCTCGCTAATCACTTCAATACCTCAAGGATCTGGTGTTTCTTCCACTTCAAATCTTACCCTTTTCCAATCACATAAAAAGGCATTGAAACAATTTTTTTATTTTTTATAAAGCTCTTGGGCTTTGAATTCTGAATCTAGGGTTCTGTGATCTGTATATGTGTATCGATGAGTATGGAAATCGCGGTGGATGCGGGGTCGTTTGACGCCGAGTTGTTGCAACTTACGGAGGTGTCCCCTTTGGCCCTCAAATCGAATCCAAGCTACGTCGAGTCGCTCTTCGAGCAGTGGCTTTCGCTTCCCGAAACTAACCGTCTGGTACTTAAAAACCCCTTTAGTCTTCAAAATTTGAAATTGTTTGTTTTTTTTGCATTGTATTGGTTTTGCATCTTATTGGGTTTCAAAGAATTTCCGGCTGCATTTTTTGTTTATTGAATTGATGAGCTTGGTTTTTTTCTATTGAAATATTGAAATAATAATTTATGTGTTTGTATGTGTATGTTTTGAACACATAAAATTTGCATGGATTTGTTTATGTATTTGTGCTAATGTGTGAAAATAATGTGAGCTGGAAATAATGGTGCGGAATTTATTCTTGTATATAGTCATTTTCCTGCCCATGATATTGAATTTGTTCAGAAACGATGTCATTGTGATTGAAGAAGCATAATAGGGCACATTTCAGTCATGTAAAACGGGATAAAATTTGTAAAATGTAAGCGCGGTGTTTGTAATTATGAATGCTTTAAAGCACTTCTTTAAGCATTTTTAATTAGGAAACGTATGCTGTATATCCTATGCATTGTTTCTTGCTTTTGTGGTGCATGATAATCATTTCATGTTTCCTGCCTTTATGACTGCAGGTGACACAATTGCTCGCTGAAGCAAAGGCAGGTGGACCCTTAACTGTCCATGGCAACTCTTCTAGTCCGCATGCCACTGCAGGCAATGCTTTGCCTTCCATGTTTCCAGCAGGCAGTGCACCACCACTGTCACCAAGAAGTTCATCTGGCTCCCCTCGCATTATGAAACAGAGGACTGGCCCTTCTAATTTAGGTTCTCCCCTGAAAGTAGTTAGTGAGCCAGTTAAAGAATTGATACCTCAGGTTTGACAAATCCTGATGTTTTCCGGCAATCTGGTGCTACTATTTTGCTATATAATTTCTTATGCACTTTCTTCATTTGAACTTAACTAGGTGTAATGATTTTTTTTAGGAGAAGGTTAGTAATTTTTTTAAACTTGGATTTTTTTACCACTTGCAGTTTTACTTTCTAAATGGTCGCCCACCTCCAAATGAACTAAAGGAGCAATGTTTATTTAGAATAAATCAGTTTTTCTCTGGAAACGCGGACGGACTGCAGATGCAAGGTGAGATATACGTAAGATATGAGTTTATGTGGTATTACTAGAATGAGCTGTAATTTTCTCTCTGGTATATCAGAATTTAAATCAGTTGCTAAGGAAGTTTGCAAGCTGCCTTCATTCTTCTCCACGTCTCTTTTCCGAAAGATTGATGTTAATAGCACTGGATTTGTAACAAGGTATTATTCACTTTCTGTTATTGCTTGTGAACGAATGTAGTTTCCAAAGCGTGCTCCCTACCCCAACCCCCACCCCAGTCCATGTCTGCCCTACTGCGTTTTATTTTATGTCCATGCTATCACTTTTTCCATTAATTTGTTTGTAGGGATACATTTACTGATTATTGGGTCAATGGCAACATGTTGACGATGGATATAGCTACTCAAATATATTCAATCTTAAAGCAACCAGATCTCAAGTACCTTACTCAGGTTTTTGTTTTGTTTTATATTCTTCTTCTCCTTTTATGTTTTATTACAGATCTATGTACAACCTTATATCTCTACAAATATGAATCATGATAAATGCAATTTGTGCATTACCTACTATCCTAAATCCTACTCCTGTTTGATATCAGGATGACTTTAAACCTGTCCTTCGAGAACTTTTGGCAACTCATCCAGGGTTGGAGTTCTTACAGAGCACACCTGAGTTTCAAGAAAGATACGGTTTGTTCTCCACCTATAATTAGCCTTTTCCTTATACTGTTTTGGTATTCCATTTTTTTTCTCTGGTTATGATTGATGCAATAACTTTAGCATGATGCAAACCTTAACGTGAGATAATATTGCAATGGGCCAGCTGAAACTGTAATATACAGAATATTTTACTACATAAATAGATCTGGGAACGGTCATCTCACCCTCAGGGAGCTGAAACGTGGAAACTTGATTGATGCAATGCAACATGCGGATGAAGAAGAGGACATCAATAAGGTTTTGAGGTAAAGATTCCGGATAGGGACTTATTTGTGTTTGAAAGTGTGAGCAGTAAAATGAGGAATCACCATGTCTCGTTTCTTTCACACAATATGGAATAGTGTGCTAGAGTGTGTTCCTCGCTGCATCTTTATGTACAATATCTGATATCAAAACTTTTTGGTCTTCTTCTAACCCCTTTATTTCTTATATTATCTGTTACAGGTACTTCTCTTATGAGCATTTTTATGTTATATACTGCAAGTTTTGGGAGCTGGATACGGACCATGATTTCCTTATCGACAAAGAGAACCTGATAAGATATGGTAACCATGCACTTACCTACCGGATTGTTGACAGAATATTTTCTCAGGTTTGTGTCATGAAGCTTTTGTGTCAGACCGACTACAAGAAAAACCTTTCTTTCAATAAAAGCTTAAATCTCGGTCCTCTCTCTCTCTCTCTCTCTCTGTGTAACAGGAAGACAAAAACATGCAGTCTTGATTATGTATTAAATGAGTTTTTTTGGTTCCAGGTTGCAAGAAAGTTTACTAGCAAGGTTGAGGGAAAGATGGGATATCAAGATTTTGTGTACTTCATTCTGTCAGAGGAGGATAAATCGTCCGAGCCTAGCCTTGAGTTCTGGTATATCTTTACCTCTTACCGTTAGCTGTTAATTAATTGTAATTGAATGCGTGCTCTCAGTTTACTAAAGTGATGGATGGAGCTTCTTCTTGATTTAACTTTATTCAGTTAATTATTCTATCAGCTGCCTAGTAGCTGTGACACTACATTGTTCTTGTTAGGTTCAAGTGCGTAGATTTGGATGGAAATGGAGTTCTGACACGTAATGAACTGCAATTCTTTTATGAGGAGCAATTGCATAGAATGGAATGCATGGCCCAAGAGCCTGTTCTCTTTGAGGATATATTATGCCAGATAATTGACATGATTGGACCAGAGGTTTGCCTTTTCCTATTTGTACCTTTTTCTGACTGTTCCTTTTTATTGTTATATTCTTCTTCGTCTTCTTCTTCTTATTTTTTTTGGAGAATAAACTGAAGTTTATTAACAAAACCTGGATGTACTAGGCTGAGGACATGTAGTCCTTATCGAAATACATTATAAAAGAGATAAAGATCACTTGTACATGAGCAATCAAAAGCAAGACTAACCAATTTATACACATTACTCTGCCTTCCAATTCTTACTATATTTGAGTAACCCCCCTCCTTTCCTCTCCTCCTTTTAGGTTTATTGCTTCAAGAAAGTTGTATAAAAGAATGGAATTCTAGGAATCTTTTATGCATGTTTCTCCAAACGCACCATTATTTAGATATGGTTTTACTGTGGTTGACATGAAGTTTTGTTCTTGCAGAATGAGAGCTATGTCACACTCCGTGACCTGAAAGGCTGTAAGCTTTCAGGAAGTGTCTTCAACATCCTTTTCAACCTTAACAAGTTCATGGCCTTTGAAACTCGTGATCCGTTTCTTATTCGTCAGGTACAGAAAACAAATAATCCTTTCATGATTTGAAATTGGAAGAGTCCAGATAAAAATGTTAGATTAGCGGACTGCCTTACCATTGTTGATGACTGTCTTGCTGATATTGGATGTGTACAGGAACGCGAGAATCCAACCTTGACAGAGTGGGACCGGTTTGCACATAGAGAATATATCAGACTTTCTATGGAAGAAGATGTTGAAGATGCCTCCAATGGAAGTGCTGAAGTTTGGGACGAATCGCTTGAAGCTCCCTTTTGAGTTCAACTCGGGTAAAGTAGTAAATTTGGTGTAGCTTTATTTATTTTTACCTTTTCTTTTGATGGTGCAAGCTAGGTGTGGAATATGGCATAATATCCTCCCTGGGTAAAGATTCTTAAAGTTCTAAAACGAGTATGAGTTCCCTAAAATAATTATGGTGAATTTGTGTGATGGGCTGATGGGAAGCATCTTGTTAGCCTCAGTTTCTTAGACTGAAAATTATATAGTTGAAGCAGATGACAATAACCATAGGTGCAGATCCTAAACAACTTATAAGCAATCATCACAAAGATTTGTTGTTTGACTTCACATGCAGTCATGGATACTTTCATTTGTGTTGCATTTGATTTTTGGGATACTAGCTGAGACACCAATCCTAAGTCCGTAGACTCTCTCAGATCAAACATCATAACTTACTTTGTATGGATCACAAGTTCCAATGCATCAAATGACGAATTTATTGTTCTGCATAATTTCTTTTCTTGTCTCCATTACCTATGGAAATTTCACCTTTGCATTTGTATTTCTTTGCAGGAATAGACTAGGAAATTTCAGATTCTTCTTAAACTGGCAATCAGACAGAACTGACGACTCATAGAATCAGTATATTGAACAAACTGTGGCAGTTGTGACACCTACACTTTATTGACGGAAAATTCTGAACTTGGCGGTGTCGGGGTACCTTGTGCCAGCAGTAAAACAAAAAAACAAAAAAAATGGTCTGCGTGTTCATGAATTAAACAAATGATGGGGCAGAGTACAAGCCCCATTGCCCCGTATCGTAGCATGCGGAATAGCTGCCTGCTCAAAGATGATATGATTAACCACGTCCAGTTGAAAGATAATAACATCCTTAACATTCAGCCACCCTTTCTTCCCTCTCTATATTTGGTTCAATTGTTACCTCAAGTTGTAAGATATCACTTATTTAAGTTTCTTATTTATTTTTGTTATAGTGGTTGGTTGTTCAAAAATACATTCATTTGTAAAATTTATTAGGTGGTGTTAGACTTTCTTTGTTAAGAAATTTTGAGTTGGATTTTGGTTATTATCAATTGATATTCTTGGTTTCATTTTTCGATATTTTCTATGTTAGTAAGCATTGACTTGATGTTCTGAGTGGATGCCACTTTAGCTCGCCTCCATTCTATCTACACCATTTTTCGGTACCCAAACAAAAAGCTAGGGAACCCGTGATTACAGGCAGATGGAAAATTCAATTGGAATACTTTGTCGAATTTGAATACAGGCAGATGGAAATTTCAATGGAAACTGCAGAAGCTCATGACTTTAATAACTGCACTTTCGTGTCAATTTCATTGCACAAAGCATCGCTGTTTTAATAACCAGGAAGTCAAAAGCTACTTTTCTGTTTGCTTATCTTCTACGAGTAACCTTCATGTATAGGAAATTGAGTTCCAGCCATTTAGCATATTAATTAGCATTTGCATCGTACTGGTGATGTAAAATTAAGGTTTCAACTTACATGACAAAATCCCAAATTTTTGGGATGAAGTTCAAATCGATCCTTTATTATTATAAAATTCAGTATAATTAACTTGAGAAATAAAATGTTTAAAAAATTAAAAAAAAACTTTTATGTAAAATTTAAACAAAAAACGAAGACGTTTGGTTTATCTGGGTCTAAGTCCAATCCAAGTCCAAATCAGTTCACCCAACCAAGGGAGGTTTGTGCAGCTAAACGCCCAATCACACAGACGCAAAACCCTGGCCTTCCCCAAACACACAGAGAACCTGAAACCGTAAACTTGGTGCAGCCGCCGGTGTTGATATCGCAGCAGGCAGAGATATGAAGGTGGTGGCTTTAGTAAGCGGCGGCAAAGACAGCTGTTATGCCATGATGAAATGTATCCAATATGGCCACCAGGTTTCACCACTTCCTGTTTTGTTTCCCTTAAAAACGCAGGAACATGAAAGAAAGATTAAACTCTTCCTTTTCTTTCATATTGTTTTCGCCTTGTATCTATTTTTCTTTCATAAAAATGCAATTTTTATTGCTTAGTTACCTACCCAAAACCTCTTGCTGAACTGAGCTTAACTATTTGTTCCAACTTTAATTTTCTTTTTGTCAGAAAGAAACAAAGAATATAATAAGTTGCACCCTCTATCTCTGCTTTCTGTCTTCATATGTTTGCAGAAAATGAAAAAAAATAAAATATATATATATATATATATTTTTTTAAATGCCATCTTTCGGAGTTTGAAGACTCATCTGTGCTTGTTATTACTCAGATTGTTGCAGTGGCAAATTTGATGCCTGCTGATGATTCGGTGGACGAGCTTGATAGCTACATGTATCAAACTGTAAGTCTCTCTTTCCTTCAAATATTTATTCTTTTAATATGAAGAGCTAAGTTGTGAAGATGCATTTGTCTGGTTTAAACTTTAAAGTTAAGGAAAGCTGGCAATGTGATTCTTGAGCTATTCATTACTTTCCGTAGGTTGGACACCAGATAGTTGTCAGCTATGCAGAATGCATGGGAGTTCCGTTGTTCAGAAGGCAAATCCAAGGATCCACAAGGCAAGACTTTTAAGAAGGAAATTTGGTAAAACAAATTATCTTAGATTGAGAAGTAGAAATCTCTGTTATTATTGTTGACAAAGTTCCTTCCTGTAAGAATTCTTATATCCACTTGATTGCTTGATTGTGTCAAGCATGTTTTTATTCTCCCATGGCTTCTGTGGATTATGTAGGCATCAGAAACTTAGCTATAGAATGACTCTTGGGGATGAAGTTGAAGATATGTTTTTTTTGTTAAATGAAGTGAAAAGACAGATCCCTTCTGTCACAGGCGTATCGTCCGGTGCTATTGCATCAGACTATCAAAGGCTGCGGGTGGAAAGTGTCTGTTCTAGGTTAGGGCTTGTTTCTCTAGCATACCTGTGGAAACAAGATCAGTCATTGCTTCTTCAAGAAATGGTAATTTGTTTATTAGCAGCATGAATGCAGTCCATTAAGATAAGATTATTTTAACTCACAAACTTTTTCTGCCAACCAGATAACTAATGGGATTGTGGCGATTACAGTGAAGGTAAAGTTTATTGTTGAACATTTGTTTTTTTAGTTCAAATGACTTGCATGTTTATTTTGATGTTTTTGGAGTTGGAGCCTAATACTGTTTGAATGTCATAGGTTGCTGCCATGGGGTTGGATCCCTCAAAGCACTTGGGCAAAGAAATGGCATCCTTGCAGCCCTATCTGCATAAGTTGAAAGAGTATGCCGTGCTTTATTTTCTTTCTGTTCGGGTTGGGGGTGGTGGGTGATGTTGTATATTGTATATTTTCTGCCACTATGGAGATCCCACAGAACCATCAACTCACCCCAAACCCCTAAACAGAAATTTATCCAGTATCCTTCATTGTATTTGCTAATCTTCTATTCTTTGGTAGGTTGTATGGGATTAATGTATGCGGTGAAGGAGGGGAATATGAAACGTTGACACTGGATTGCCCTCTCTTTGTTGTAAGTTCATACCATTCCTCAAAATTACAAGAATAGATTCAGTTGTACATAACAGGTGCTCAAAAATGCCCATTGTGTGCATACCAGTGTGCAGAATCTGAAATGTATTACTTAGCTTTATCCTTGCTTGAAATTTTAGTTCTTTCCAATCAATAATGTCTGCTAATTACTGGAAGGTATTATCCCTACTTTTCTTGTATACTGTATTCTCATCACATTTTGGAAGTTCAAATTTAGGTCACTTGTTGCATTTTACAAAGTTTTGGAGATTTTAATTTTTATATCATTGCCTTCTACAAAATTTTGAAATTTACAGAACGCTCGAATCGTGCTGGATGAGTTTCAAGTTATACTGCACTCAACAGATTCCATAGCTCCAGTTGGGGTGCTTCATCCTTTGGCTTTTCATTTGGAAAATAAGGCACAATCCTGTTCTTTGGGAAGCAGTGACAAAACCCATGAGATGTATCATGAGAAGAAGGGTTTTGTATGTGAAGTGCAAGGAGACCATCCCCAAGGATGTGATGCTGCATGCCAGGATGATGCCCCAGTTAACAATTTGGTTGAACTTGCTGAACATAAACTTCACATTTCAAGAACACAAAAGGGTGATACGTTTTCTATTTGTTCCCGGTTGCAAGATTCATGTACAACTTCCACAGGTAAACAGTAAATGAAATATACTTCTGCAGTTGTATTCCCTGCCAGTGTATTGCCCTTCAGATAGTATGATTACAATTTACTAGTGTTTTAAATATACAGGTTTGCAAGAAGATCTGGAGGCTGTTTTAAAGAAAATTGAATCACTACTTGTAGAAAATGGTTTTGGTTGGGAAAATGTTCTGTATATTCATCTTTATATTGCTGATATGAATGAGTTTGCTACAGCAAATGATACATATGTGAGATATATAACTCAGGAAAAGTGTCCTTTTGGAGTTCCATCCCGCAGTACAATTGAACTGCCTTTGTTGCAAGTGGGTTTAGGTAGTGCTTACATGGAAGTTTTTGTGGCAAATGACCATACCAAAAGAGTTCTACATGTACAAAGTATATCTTGTTGGGCACCCAGTTGTATTGGACCATATAGCCAGGTAAAAACATATGTCATCAATAAGTTTCAGTCAACGAAAACAAGATTCCGTATTGGCTTGGATGTGAGACTTGCCTTGCTCAGTGTTTCCCATTTGAGCACCTTTCCTTATACTTTTATTTAAAAATGAAAAACAATAGTTTAGCATATTTTCGTGATACAAAACTCCATTAATTTAAAAAATGTGGTTGATTTTTTAATTTCAATCAATTTGTTTGCTTCCAGGCAACTTTGCATAAGGAGATACTTCACATGGCTGGACAGTTGGGACTCAACCCTCCCACAATGACATTATGCCAAGGAGGCGCCATTGATGAGCTGGAAAAAGCACTTGAAAACAGTGAAGCAGTGGCTAAATGCTTTAACTGTTCAATATCTACTTCAGCTATTGCCTTCGTCATTTACTGTTCAACAAAAATTCCATCAACAGAGAGATTTAAAATCCAGGACAAGCAGGATGTGTTCCTTAAACAAACAAGGGTCTTCAATTTTGATACAGGAACCAATTCTGAAGCATTTGATCCCATTTTTCTATATGTCCTTGTCCCTGATCTGCCAAAAGGGTATTGTTCTGTCTCCATGTTGGGCCTTTCTTCTTCATATTATGCATTCGGAAGAAAATCTATATGCTCCTTGCTCATTTGGTTTGATTTTATTTCATCATGATTGTGGGATCCTTCTTTCAACAATTCGTGCACATATCTGTATATTTAAGTTTTACCAATTAAAATCCCTTAACTTCTAAAAAACAAAGAAAATGCCTTAAATTGCACCTGTCAATTCTTACGAAATGCTAATGATAGATTGCTTTAGTAATTCTGCTGTACCTGACGACCTGAAATATGGATGAAATTTATAATCAGGTTCCATTCTCTTTCTGGCATTGCAGGGCCCTTGTAGAAGTTAAGCCCATTCTGTTTGTTGCAGACGATATTGAAGAACCAACTGGAGATGTGAAAGAGCAATCTTGCTCAAGCACTCCTGGTTACTGGGGTTTTCAGCATGCAGAGTGGCATGATTCTTGTTTTCAGAAATGTGTTGTTCCTGGAAAATTATGTACAGTCATTTTGTCTGTGAGTAGTGAACCTGCTGCGACCATCTGTCATGACCATCTAGTTGGTGACAAGAACAAAGGGGATAATCAAAATTCTCTCACAGAGTGGCAGATGGATAGAGTGTCAAGATTTTGCATATATCTTCTTGATAAAATTATCACGGAGAGCGGTTTCTTATGGGATGACACAATGGTTTGTTTCTTGTCTAGGTACTCCTTTGTTTTCTGTTTTTTATGTTTTCATTACTATTATTCTCATTGTGTGTCGTTCCTTGCATAGTATTTGAGGTTCTACTTTCCCACAAGTCTTCAAGTGCCTGCAAATACACTCTCACTCATGTTCACCAATGCATTCGATGAACTTGCTGCAATGGGTCGGATAATCAAGACTGGCAAGGAACCCATCTTCAACCTTGTTCCCGTCTTAGGTGCCGGGAGG